TAGTCTTTATCTTTGATGCCCCTCATGCAAAATAGTTCCTCATTGATACAAATTGGCTCTCTAAGGGCTCTACTCCTGAAAAAGTAAAACATTTATACCATCAAAAGGTTTAAGTCATTCCAAGTCATTTAGCTAATTACGATTAGCAGAAAGAATTTTTATGGCTGAAGAGGAGGAGTGACAAAAGGCACTGTTGTAAATCAACGACTTAAAAACGCCGGCAGGGAGCGTTTCGGTTCTGACCATTCCTTTACGCAAATAAGTCTTATTGAGCTTACACTTTTGGATAATTTCCCCTAGCAATAGAGACTGCGTATTGACCTATTTAGAACAATGGGTGACCTTCATTTTCACCTGGCGAACGGTCTCAAATCACGGCTCATTTAACTCCATGACCTGTTTAATCCTCGACGTTTTGAAATCTGCATTATGCCGTGAATGTCTATCTATGGATAAAGTTTCAGGCACCTTATGTGTGTTGATGCGCCACTTGTACACGAGTCTGCGGCAGCACGCCTTCAGAGATGACTCAGGAGGCCGTACGGTGAATAAGCCCTTACCTTTCGTGAAGCCGGTTAAGGTGTCTACTGCACCACGATTTAAGCAAGAGTGTTTTTTTAATAAGAAACCTCTAAGACAAAAAAAATTTTTGTCGTCAGAATGGGTTTTGGATTATTTTGGGAATGTCCATTCCCATTTATATAGTTTTCCTACTCAAAGTGCACGCAACAAATTTACGAAAAATCCAAAAACAAGCCACTTTAATTTCTATTATTCATGAACCACAGAAGAGACCGCGTGATTAAGTATGCAACTGAAATTGAGATCACCTTGTGATCTAGTGACCAAGACGTTTATGAAATTTTCATTTAGCTTGCTGGAAAAACCTGTTAAGACTTGTAGGAACTTGCAAAGACATGTGGCTGTTGATATGCAGGTGTTACTGAGCCTTGAAATACGTCAGTCTACCAGAATATTGTGTTTGCTTTGTATGTGCGTGTGTGTGTGTGTGTGTGTGTGTGTATACCTGCGTACGTATGTTGTTAACTGCAAGCGGAAATGAGTTATTCACTAGCTCATAATTATCGAAATACGGCGTGTTGGAGGGGTTTTCAGCCTCAAAACGCGGTTTCATATGATTTTTCTAGGTTACTTCGAAATACTTTTCCGATATTCCAGTCATATTCAAAGTGCGCGACCTCGTTGACATATTCCTGATTGGCCAATATCAAATGGGGTCGTCAAAGTTGATGTTGACTCTGTTTGTGGTTTAATCTCCATCCATTTAGTCAGTCACAACAGTGGAGACTGCGAATGGCAAAATAAGGCTCTACTATGATCAGGAGTCCAAAATCTCATAATCTTCACTGTTTAAACGATAAAAGAAGTTAGTCAGAGTCATTCTGGCTTTGAGCATTGATAAGCTGTGCAGTGACCTTTATTATGCAGATGGGTATTTGAAGAGTTACATCAGCAAGGCAATCCAGTGCTATGGCCAGCGATATGTGGCAGCACAGAATGGGGTGAGTGGTATTGATGTTCCTTTGATACCTTCTCGATAATAACACCATCTTCATGTTGAAATTTCACACACAAATTCCCACCATCATTGTGTTTATCATCGGCTATGATGAATAACTGATGGAGTGTGGAAAGTCCCACTTCCATACTGCATTATCTGGCCAAAAAGCAAGAACACAGACGGCATGAGTGCAGTGCAGAAGGTCGATGCTTACTTCCAGTTGCATATTCAATACGCCACATTTCAGTGGTAGCAGGTTTAAGCATGCACTTCGGTAGAGTAACCCAGAGTGGTACCGCATTGCATTCATGACATGATGGTTGAGAGACCAGCATCCATTCACTGTGCCAGTCAAGGTGAAGTGAGGTAGAAATTTGATTTTAATGCTAGGATGGAAGAAATAAGTGTTACGCATAAAGGTTAATGGCCCAAATTTCAGAGATCCACAGCAGAAGGAATAGCCTACTCAGCTCCTCCTCCGACACGCATCGCACTTATAGCGTAGCATTATAAATGGAGACAGAGCGAAATCCTTTCATAATTCAGCAGCATTTGTGCTGCCAATAAAACTCTTTCTAAACTGGCGAGTGTGTATTTTA